ATCATACCTTGAGAGGTATCAGTTTCTGAACCATGTCATCCCCTTTCTCCCCTTCCCAAAATTTTGTATCTTTACTATAGAGATGTGCTCCCTGTTTATTAAAGATTATCAATTGCACTTATGTGCTACTGATGTGTACACTAATGGCTCTAAATGCTCTGATTTAGGATGGCCAGTTTATCCGGAGTGTGATACAGAGATGCTCACAACAGGTTTTTCATGGCAAATTTATACCTGGGAGTGATAATGTCAGAGGATCTCGTCTTCAAAGACCATAACAATGTATCTACTGCATCTGTTAGGAAAATGATAGGATGGATAATGAGAACCTTCCAAACTAGGGACACCAAGCCCATGACAATTCTCTTCAAATCACTTGTTCTCTCTAGCTGGAATACTGCTGTACATTAACTGTTCCCTTCAAGGCAGGCGAAATTGCTGACCTGCAGAGAGTAAAAAGAACTTTCATGGCACACAAGTACGATAAGGCACTTAAATTACTGGGAACGGTTGAAGTCCCTTGATTTGTATTACCTGGAATGAAGACAAGAGGGATACAGGATAATATACACTTGAAAATCCTAGAGGGATTAATACCAAACTTGCACATGAAAATCACTCCAGGTGAAAGCAAAAGGCTTGGCAGGAGATGCAAACATTCCCCCGATGAAAAGCAGGGGCGGCATGAGTACACCGAGAAACAACGCAATAAGTGTCTGGGGAGCAAGACTGTTCAACTGCCACGCAGCATACATAAGGGGGATTACCAATAGACCCTTGGTTGTCTCAAAAAGGCACTGGACAGGCACCTAAAGTCAGTATCTGACCAACCAGACTGTGGTTCGTATGTCAGTTTACATGCGGCCAGCAGTAACAGCCTGGTTGATTAGACCCTGATCCACCACGAGGCCTGGTCTCAGACAGAGCCACAGGGGCATTGACCCCCGAAACCCTCTCCAGGTATACTTCAGGTGTCATGTAAAAGGTGGTTCAGACAATGAAGAAATTAGAGGGGAAAAAACAGCCTTGTATCATGCTAAAACTATCTCATGATATTTTAAACAGCATATTCAATAACAGGACAAAAAATAGCTCAACTGTAGTGATTTTGGGCATTTTTCAATCCAACCGATTTAAATAAACACTAAGCTCTTGTTAAGTGATACAATGAATACGGGACTGTTTCTTGGATCAGTTATTTTTGAAGGTCTGAACAGCTTTAATGAAACCATTGGCATTCTCTATTAAGGCTTCATAGGAAAACAGGGCCTCATATGGTTGTAAAATGATCTGATTTTACCCTTTTCATTGTACATTCTTGTTCAGCATAAAAAATAGTAACCCTGGCATGATTTTAAGTTATTTTGAAAATCCAACAAAAATTGGCTAAAAAATGATACTTTATTCAGTGATTTTTTTTAGGCAAAAAACTTTTTCTCTAAAATTGGAAAATGGTTATGATGACCCTGTTGGATCAATTACTTCCCACAAACATAAAAAAATCCTGTATGTATCGCTTTCATGGAAGGTTATAAGAGTTTTGACAACAAACAGCAGCAGTGGCAGTCTAGCCTCACTATTTCTTCAACCACCAGGGCCAATCATAGCTCCTGTGATGACCTAATTGCAGGTACTACTGCACTTACACATGTAGCACCCATCATGACCTAAGAAAACCAACAGTGGATACCTACAACCTGATAAAATAGACAACCAAAGAAAGACTGCCATGTAAACTCTAGTACTGACCTGCTGCCAGACAAACACTTAACCCATGCTCTGTGTACATAAAGCTCTCTCTCCTACTTCACATCACCAACAACTACTACAGTGATATGAGAGCAAATCACAGAAGAAACAACACCAAGAAAACACCTAGGAAATCTACTATTTAACTTTTCTACCCAGCAGGACGCCTGTGTATCATCCACCACATTACCACCGTCCAGGGCCACTCAACAATAACAACACTAAACATGGCCAACCCCCTTTCTGGCTCCCCTTCCTTCCCAGGCTTCATCACTCCTGCTAATCTCTCAGGTATGACCAACAATCCTGATGCATTTAAGTCATACATCATTGCACTAACTACTGAAAATACAAATCTTCAGACATCACTAGCTCAACACGAATCCAAGACAGCCAATCTCAAGCACAAGATCCTTAACCTTGAAGAGAAAATTACAACACATGGAATGACTGACTTCAACAAGACTACAAACAGCCATAGCCAGTCATACTGAACAAATAGCATAATTAAACACTAAGGCTGAAGAAACTGTCAAGGACTGGAACAAATCAAATCTATTTTACTATAGGGTAATTAATTCATTACACATTTTTGTTTACTGTCCATATTAAATACAGTGGTACCTCAGGATACGAACTTATTTTGTTCCAGAAGGCTGTTTGAGTGCTGATACCGAACGAATTTGTTCCCATAAGGAACAATGTAAATTAGATTAATCCATTTCAGACTCTCAAAAATACACTTACAAAAGCACTTACATAAATACACTTACATATATACACTTACAAAAGTACTTACATAAATACACTTACAAAAATGTTCACGTTTTGAGCTGTTCGTACCCCAAGGACCACTGATTTCCATTTTTTTATTTAAGCTTCCTTTTAAAGTATAGTACAAACCACATTTATATTTTTTCTATCTGTTAAAAGTTTTTAACTTGGGGAAACCCCAGGTGCAATAGAAGGCTAAATAGGTGCTAAGTGTTGGGTTTTTAGTGTATTTTTTAACCAGGGGTTCATCCTTTTTTGTTTTAAAAGGGTTTTAATTTAATATATCATCCGGTTAGGGTTAAAGTACTGATTTTCTTTTCTGTAATTGCAACGGGTTTAAATTTCCCTTTTGTCCTTCTGTAAATATTTTTACATTGCCTTTACTTTAGAATATAAATTAAAACCTGATATTTTTTCTGCCAAAAAACCAAAGTAATTGCCATTATACACTGCTAGTCGTCCCAGCAAGAATTTAAACAGTTTTCAATTAGATGTTAAATCATTGAGAAACACATGAGCCCCTTGCATGTTAAGTCTATAAAATGCTACTAAATTTTCATTTTCTTACTGAAACCACTCAAACAGGCTTGATGACATATTTCCTGACCTGGTTAAAAGCCTAAAACTGCAGGACTGATCTATATGGGAGCAGCACTCCCTTTTCTCAGCTACAGCACCTCTAGTATTCTAACTTTAACCCCTAAGTCATGGAGTTTTCAAAATTTCTGTTTTCCCGATCTGCCAAAATTTTTATTAAAAAACTAACCTTTAAACATGTTTTATCTCTAGCATGTACTTTTATAGATCTAAAAAAATTTTTTTTAAACTAAAACTTTTTAGACTTCTGAACTTGAAAGGTTTTCGCCTGTATGTACACGCTATGTGTCACAAGACTATCTTTTTAAAAATAAAAGTTTTACACATCGGAACCTATATGGTTTCGCCCGGTGATTTCGCATATGTTTTTTACAAAAATGGGTTTTTAACTAAAACATCTCCGGCACTTGAGATTGATATGTTATGGGCCCGTGTGTATTCGCTATGTCTTTGTAAGAAGGGGTTTTTGATTAAAAGTTTTTTGGACTCCGAACACTGGTATGGTTTTCGCCTGTTGTATTCGAAAATGTCCCCAAGCTGCCTTTTACACGAAAAAATTTCAGACTTTTTGAACAGTGATACGGTTTACGCCTGTATGGGCACGCATAGTGCCCCCAAGACTGCCTTTTGTACTTAAACATTTCGAACATCCAAAAAACGAAAGGGTTTTGCTGGTGCCCGCTATTTTGCCACAAGCGCTTTTTGAGCAAAGCTTTAGACATCTGAACATGAAGTGGCTTCCTTTTTCGGTACTTTTTAAAGTCTTACAAGACTATTCTGTCCACTAAAACATTTCAGACATTTTGAACATGAATAGGGCTTTCCCTCAGTGTGTACTTTTACATGTCTTACAAGGTTGTCTTGTCCACTAAAGCATTTCAGACATTTTGAACACTTATATGGTTTATCATGTACACTCAAATTGACTCTTAAGGCTGATTTTTGTGCTAAAACATTCAAACATTCTGGACACTGAAATGGTTTATATCCTGTATGTAGTCGTTTATGTCTCACAAGATTGCCTTTATCATTAAAACATTTCATACACTCTGAACACTGATATGGTTTCTCTCCCAGGTGTATCAGCTTATGTCTCACAAGAGACTTTTTAAGGCTAAAACACTTCAGACATTCAGAGCACTCATGTGGTTTTTCTCCTGTATGTACTCGCTCGTGTGTCACAAGATAACATTTATGACTAAAGGATTTCTGACACTCTGGGCACCGGTATGGTTTATCTTTGTGATTTTCCATATTTTTCAACAGTATTTAATTTGAATATATTTTGTTCATTAGTGGTATTGTTAATGTCTCTTATATACACTCAGGTGTATTTCAAAATTTGGGGTTAAATATTTTGAACACTGAACATATTCAGTTTTCCTTGTGTACATATTCCCAAGTTAAAATTTTTTTAGCAAAATTATTCCTACCTATGAGTACTGATATATTATTTCCATTGTGTTTTATAAGCCTAGAATGATTTTGTTTTGTGTGTTAAAAGTCTAATGTAGTACTGGACAACTGTAGATACACGATGAATATATTTATTTTCTCTCTCTCTGTAAATTCTAGACTAGAGAATTACCAATTTGTTATTTTCTATGAACTGTCATGCAAATTTTTTTTATAGAATTCCCAATATCAAAGTAAAATTGTGTAATTAGTAATACCTGATGAGTTAAAAATTCACAAGAATAACAGATGTTGCTGTTCTTGAAGTACTGGAGACATAGTGACGGTAATGGCACAACCTGGTAGTGTTCCACACAATACTTCAGTAATATTAGTCGTTGTTCAGGTGTTTCTTGATTACTGAAGACATAGTGACTGTAATGACACAACCGGGTAATGTTCCACACAATACTTCAGTAATATTAGTCGTTGTTCAGGTGTTTCATGAAGCACTGAAGACATAGTGACTGTAATGGCACAACCTGGTAGTGTTCCACACAATACTTCTGCAACAGAAACACAAGTCAGTATAATACAATATTCCACCATTATCAACACAACATATTGAACTATTAAAAAAAAATTCTCCATTATCACATGTTCCACTAAATAAAAGTGTCACTTGTATATTTTTTAGGTCTAAAAGATGTATAGAGTTTTTATAAGACATGATATATGTCTGTTTATCTGTAAAGATAAATCACATGTTAAATATAAAAATTATTTTAACAATGACTGTGTAAACAATATGACACTGAACATATCTTTAATTTATATTCACGGGGAAAAACTAAGCCCATAAAGGTGATGTAGTGCTTCCAGAAAGGGAAATAAACATGTTTCATCCAAGGAAAGGGAGGTAGCTATATTTTACTGGTTTCAAGAGATAATTTCATGTGCTGTGAGAACTTTTACACTATTTATATTTATCTTCATGTCATTATTATTAAAGAAGACTAAAACAGTAAACTCTGATGTAACCCCAGGTGCAATGTCTCTGGAATGAACATGTAACATGAAACTGCGTGTTAAGTGAAGTGAAGAGCCTATGGGAAAAATAAGGTTACGTTCCAAACATCTCACACCTTAACCCCAAAAATATTTTTTATTAGTGTACAACTTGACATTCTTATGGCAGTGTAGTACACACACTGTTATGTAGCATAGTACACACTGTTGTTTACTGAGTGATGAAGTTCTTGGGTCCTCAGTACATGTCAACAGTAAAACCCAGATTTAATGGACCTCCATTAACAGGTTCTGAAAACAATGGACGAAATCTGCTGTGTACAGCAGTAGAGTCGTCATTCACTCTTCACATTCCCTATATTTACTGTGTTTACCTTTATTACTGTAGTAACTGCATTATATACAGAGCACTCTGCCCATGTAGGTCACTCAGTACCCTTTCCCCCCAAAAATTACATACAACACATAAATAAAAATAATGTAGTATAAATAAAAGTCACCTCATCTTCCTAACTTAATTACATCAACACTATGCTATACCTAACAAAACTAACTCACTTATACCTAGCAAAACTAACTCACTTATACCTAGCAAAACTAACTCACTTATACCTAGCAAAACTAACTCAATATACCTAACAAAACTAACTCAATATACCTAACAAAACTAACTCAATATACCTAACAAAACTAACTTATACCTAGCAAAACTAACTAACTTATACCTAGCAAAACTAACTCACTTATACCTAGCAAAACTAACTCACTTATACCTAGCAAAACTAACTCACTTATACCTAGCAAAACTAACTCAATATACCTAACAAAACTAACTCAATATACCTAACAAAACTAACTCAATATACCTAACAAAACTAACTCACTTATACCTAGCAAAACTAACTCAATTATACCTAACAAAACCAACTCACTTATACCTAACAAAACCAACTCACTTATACTTAAAACCAACTCACTTATACCTAACAAAACCAACTCGCTTATACCTAACAAAACCATATCACTTATACTTAACAAAACTAACTCACTTATACCTAACAATACCAACTCACCTATACCTAACAAAACCAACTCACTTACACCTAACAAAACCAACTCACTTATACCTAACAAAACCAATTCATTTATACCTAACAAAACCAACTCATCTGTACCTAACAAAACCAACTCGTCTATACCTAACAGAACAAACTCATCTATACCTAACAAAACTAACTCATCTATACCTAACAAAGCCAATTCACCTAACTACTTTATGAAATCATGGAGTGTTAGAAACTAATCAGTTTTAACCCTTTGACTGTCGTAACCCCCAATCCTGAGGTGTCTCCTGGTGTCGCAAAATTTAAAAAAAAAAAAATTATTTTTTCTTATGAAATGATAGAGAATTTTTTCCCGATTGTAATGACACAAAAAAAAACGAAATTTGATGGAAAACTGACGGAATTATGCTCTTGCGAAGTAAGCGACCTCAGCGCTGTTTACAAATCGGTGATTTCGCCCACTTTGAGCCCTATTTTCGGCTAATTCCATTGTTCCAGTCGCCCAAACTCATAGCTATTTCTTTAGAACTCCATTTTTTCTATCGATTGAGCACAAGAAACTGCCCATTTACCGATTTCAACTACCTAATAATGTGGTCAGAAATTTGTAATTTGGCCAATTTCACGAAAACTAAAAAATATGACAATTTCAAAATAAGGTCCAGAATGAACAATGCAGACATTCCTGGCTCTAAAATAACATTTTCTTTGCTGATCAGTTATGTCTCCAGGCCCCTCTGATATTACTCTTGCTTTCTATTTTGAATTTTTATTTCAAACAAAAAATAGAAGATTTACTATTATGCAGACTACTGCAATACTGTAATAATTGTATAAATAACATCAACCCATTCATGACTGCATATTAGAATGGCTAGTTGGACATTTATTGGACAATGGCATCATTTGTTTACTTTTGAACATTGGCAAAAATAAAACATTTCCATTACTTTGAGCTCAATTTCTAGGTTTTTTTTTATAGTAAAATCAATCAAAATCACCTCTATTTCTAAAATATGTTTTCCATTCTATCAAATGAGACCAAGAAAACGAGAATACAACCAAAAAATACAGTGGCCCCCCGCATAACGTTTACCTCGAATGCGACCAATTATGTAAGTGGTAATTTATGTAAGTGCGTTTGTACGTGTATGTTTGGGGGTCTGAAATGGGACTAACTACTTCACAATATTTCTTAGGGGAACAAATTCGGTCAGTACGGGCCCACCTGAACATACTTCTGGAGTGAAAAAATATCGTTAACCGGGGGTCCACTGTACTATACAAAAATAGACCACAAAGTCGGCTTTTTAAATTTAAAAAAAAACGGTCAGAGTTTTTTCTTTTCTCATTATGCACTGCGGGGCTCCGGGTTTTTTTTATATGGTGCACACTGAAACACAGACCCATTCTCTCACATGTGGACCTACCAACTTTCTCCTGCTTGATTTGAAGCCGCTAGAATTTATGAGTAATATACGCCCAAACACGGTACCTCATAAGACGTATATATACGGCCGCGACAGTCAAAGGGTTAAAGTATTAATACATATTTAAACCCTTAAACTGTCCAAGCAGATCTACGTTCACATGCGTAGTGCTCCAACAGTAGATCTACGTTTTTTTACATATTTTCAAATATAAAAAAAAAAAAAAAAACGTAGATCAAAGTTTTTTTTCACACTTTTTCAAATGTAAAAAAGAAAAGATCTACTTTTTTTACATACTACTTTCAAATGTTGAAAAAACGTAGATATACTTTGGACAGTTTAAAGGGGTTTTAAAAATTATACAGTGGACCCCCGGGTTAACGTTTTTAATCCGTGCAAGAGGGCTCATCGTTATGCGAAATAATCGTTATGCGAATGAATTTTCCCCATAAGAAATAATGGAAATAAAATTAATCCGTGCAAGACGCCCAAAAGTATGAAAAAAATTTTTTTTTACCACATGAAATTTTAAATTTTTAATACACACAAACTGAAAAAGGCATGCACAATTACATGACACTTCTTTTATTGAAGATCTGGGGATGAAATTTATGGGATTTGGGAGGAGGGGAGAGCATTTTCTTCTTACTGTTTAGAAGGGGAATCCCCTTCCATTAGGACTTGAGGTAGCAAGTCCTTTTCTGGGGTTACTTCCCTTCTTCTTTTAATGCCACTAGGACCAGCTTGAGAGTCACTGACCTCTGTCGCACAACAAATCTGTCCCCTAGAGCTCTGTACCTCCCGTTCCTTCAAGACTTTCCTAAATGGGCCATAACATTGTCATTGAAATAGTCACCAGCACGGCTTGCAACAGCTGTGTCAGGGTGATTTTCATCTATAAAGGTTTGCAGTTCAACCCACTGTGCACACATTTCCTTAATCTTTGAAGTAGGCACAATGGATTCCACAACTGGCATAGCTTCTCAGGGTTAGCCCCAAACCCTTCAAAATCTTTCTTAATTTTCCCTACTAATTCTCACCCTTTTTACCACAGGGTTGGCAATTAAAGCTTTCTTGGGGCCCATGGTCACTTATTTTCCAGAAACAGCACCCAAAACACTGTAATAATACGAAATATTCCGAGTGTATGCTTGGATTTTTTACCGCGGAGGCTGGCTGGGGAAACAATGGGACGGCCGGCACATGTGAGGGCACATTGGGCGCGTCTCGGACGAAAAATCGGTAAGCTGGTTTTTAATCGGTAGCGCGGCAAAAAATTTTGCGATAAAAGTAATCGTTATGCGGAAAAATCGCTATGTGATGCCATCGTTATGCGGGGTCCACTGTACTATTTTTGCTAATCTCAATTTGTAATAATACATAAATTGTAACCACTCAATACCTATGTCTAGTCTTAAGTAGGGTGTAAACCTTAGGCCTAGTTTGCCTGAAATGTCCGTGAGATGCCCACTGGCTTTCTTTGTGCTTAATAATATTACATGTCAACTATACAGTGGACCCTCAGTTAACGACGTCATTGGATAATGTAAAAATCAGATAACAACACGTTTCTGCGTTCGAAATATTGGCTCAGTTAACAACAAAGTACTCGGTTAAAGTCATTCATCCCGAATGTGGTCCGCACGGCCTGAGCGGCCCGGCCACTCCATATACAGACAGTGTGCCATTGTTTACAAGCCAGTGAGGACGATTCCATTCGTACATGTAATACATTTTCTATTATTCCATTGTTTTTAGTGCTTCTAACTGCTAAATAGCCACCATGGGCCCAGAGAAAGCTTCTAGTGCCAGCACTTTGGTAAAGAGGGTGAGAAACACTAAAGAATTCAAGAAAAAGTTGGTAGAAAGATATGAAAGTGGTGGTGGTAGAAGGTGGTAGTGAGGGTACTTCCCCACATACCAGCCAGGGTTACTTCCCCACAAACCAGCCAGGGTACTTCCCCACATACCATCCTGGGTACTTCCCCACAAACCAGCCAGGGTACTTCCCCACATACCAGCCAGGGTACTTCCCCACACACCAGCCAGGGTACTTCCCCCCCTATACTAGCCAGGGTACTTCCCCACACACCAGCCAGGGTACTTCCCTACATACCAGACAGGGGGTACTTCCCACATACACCACCAGGGTACTTCCCCACATACAGCCAGGATACTTCCCCACATACTAGCCAGGGTACTTCCCCACATACCAGCCAGGGTACTTCCCACACACCAGCCAGGGTACTTCCCCACACACCAGCCAGGGTACTTTCCCACACACCAGCCAGGATACTTTCCCACACACCAGCCAGGGTACTTTCCCACACACCAGCCAGGGTACTTCCCCACACACCAGCCAGGGTATTTCCCCACATACCAGCCAGGGTACTTCCCCACAAACCAGCCAGGTTACTTCCCCACATACCAGCCAGGGTACTTCCCCACACACCAGCCAGGGTACTTCCCCCACATACTAGCCAGGGTTACTTCCCCACACACCCAGCCAGGGTACTTCCCCACATACCAGCCAGGGTACTTCCCACATACCAGCCAGGGTACTTCCCCACACACCAGACCAGGATTACTTTCCCACACACCAGCCAGGGTACTTTCCCACATACCAGCCAGGGTACTTCCCCACATACCAGCCAGGGTACTTCCCCACATACCAGCCAGGGTACTTCCCCACAAACCAGCCAGGGTACTTCCCACATACCAGCCAGGGTACTTCCCCACACACCAGCCAGGTACTTCCCCCACATACTAGCCCAGGGTACTTCCCCACACACCAGCCAGGGTACTTCCCTACATACCAGACAGGGGGTACTTCCCCACACACCAGCCAGGGTACTTCCCCACATACCAGCCAGGATACTTCCCCACATACTAGCCAGGGTACTTCCCCACATACCAGCCAGGGCACTTCCCCACATACCAGCCAGGGTACTTCCCCACACACCAGCCAGGATACTTTCCACACACCAGCCAGGGTACTTTCTCACATACCAGCCAGGGGTACTTCCCCACACACCAGCCAGGGTATATTTCCCCACATACCAGCCAGGGTACTTCCCCACAAACCACCAGGTTACATCCCCACATACCAGCCAGGGTACTTCCCCACACACCAGCCAGGGTACTTCCCCCACATACTAGCCAGGGTACTTCCCACACACCAGCCAGGGTACTTCCCCACATACCAGCCAGGTACTTCCCCACATACCAGCCGAGGTACTTCCCCACACACCAGCCAGGGTACTTCCCCCACACACCAGCCAGGATACTTTCCCACACACCAGCCAGGGTACTTTCCCACATACCAGCCAGGGTACTTCCCCACATACCAGCCAGGGTACTTCCCCACATACCAGCCAGGGTACTTTCCCACATACCAGCCAGGGTACTTCCCCACATACCAGCCAGGGTACTTCCCCACATACCAGCCAGGGTACTTCCCCACATACCAGCCAGGGTACTTCCCCACATACCAGCCAGGGTACTTCCCCACACAACAGCCAGGGTACTTCCCCACATACCAGCCAGGGTACTCCCCACATACCAGCCATGGTACTTCCCACACACACCAGCCAGGGTACTTCCCCACACACCAGCCAGGATACTTTCCCACACACCAACCAGGGTACTTTCCCACATACCAGCCAGGGTACTTCCCCACACACCAGCCAGGGTATTTCCCCACATACCAGCCAGGGTACTTCCCCACAAACCAGCCAGGTTACTTCCCCATCATACAGCCAGGGTACTTCCCCACACACCAGCCAGGGTACTTCCCCCACATACTAGCCAGGGTACTTCCCCACACACCAGCCAGGGTACTTCCCCACATACCAGCCAGGGTACTTCCCCACATACCAGCCAGGGTACTTCCCCACATACCAGCCAGGGTACTTCCCCACATACCAGCCAGGGTACTTCCCCACACAACAGCCAGGGTACTTCCCCACATACCAGCCAGGGTACTCCCCACACATCAGCCAGGGTACTTCCCCACATATCAGCCAGGGTACTTCCCCACATACTAGCCAGGGTACTTCCCCACATACCAGCCAGGTACTTCCCCACACACAGCCAGGGTACTTCCCCACATACCAGCCTGGGTACTTTCCCACACACACCGCAGGGTACTTCCCCACCATACCAGCCAGGGTACTTCCCCACACACCAGCCAGGGTACTTCCCCACATACTAGCCAGGGTACTTCCCCACACACCAGCCAGGGTACTTCCCACACACCAGCCAGGGTACTTCCCCACACACCAGCCAGGTACTTCCCCACATACCAGCCAGGGTACTTTCCCACACACCAGCCAAGGTACTTCTCCACATACCATCCAGGGTACTTTCCCACACACCAGCCAAGTACTTCTCCACATACCAGCCAGGGTACTTTCCACACACCAACCAGGGTACTTCCCCACACACTAGCCAGGGTACTTTCCCACACACCAGCCAGGGTACTTCCCCACATGCCAGCCAGGGTACTTCCCCCACACCAGCCAAGGTACTTCCCACACACCAGCCAGGGTACTTCCCCACACACCAGCCAGGGTACTTCCCCACACACCAGCCAGGGTACTTCCCCACATGCCAGCCAGGGTACTTCCCCAACACACATGATTTTATCTGAATGGGACTTGTTGCATGAATGAATAGAATTATCAAAGCTTATTGCTTGGGAAGCATTGAAAGTTGGGTTGAGCAAATACAATTCTGTTAGTGGGATGGTTTGTGAAGGACCTGCCTAGTATGGGCCAACAGGCCTACTGCAGTGTTTCTGCTTTCTTATGTGCAAACATTTATGGATGAACATCACCCTGACACAGCTGTTGCAGGCGTGCTGGCATAACATCTACACTGACAATGTTGTCCCATTTTAGGGAAATTTTCAAGAGATGCCAGATAACAGAGCTCTCTGAACAGATATTTAGTGCCACAGGTGTGCAGTGACTCTCAAAGCTGGTCCAGTGGCATTAAAAAACAAAGAAGGGAAGTAACCCTAGAAAAGGACTTGGTACCTGAAGTCTTGATGGAAGGGGATTCTCCACCCAAACATAGTACACCTCCATCCTCTTCCCTCCTCCCGTTCGTCACTCATTAACCCATAAACGGCCCACACTTATATATACATTTTTTCAAACATTTGAAAGTATGTAAAAAAAGTAGATCTTTTTTTTTTTTTTACATTTGAAAATGTGTAAAAAACTTTGATCTACTTTTTTTTGTTATATTTGAAGATATGTAAAAAACATAGATCTACTTTTGGAGCACTACAATGTGTTCAATGTGTTCAGTCCATCAGTTTTGACTGATGTATTCCTATATGTTGCCCATGTCTATCATTCTTCAACTTGTCAGTTTTCTAAGCATTTATCACATACATTATTTTATATTAAACAAGGAAATTAAATGATTGTATGTTTTTGTTTGGAGAAAATGTTTACTTATCTGAAGACATTTTGGATGTGTTGGTCTTAAATTTCAAGGTGTAGGCCTAAGAATTTCCCCCTCGGTGTGTCTTGCAATGGGAGAACCATTGATCATTACATTTTCAAACTTCAAAATCAAATTTTCATTCTTTGCAAAGTTTTACAATGTGTGATTTACATATTACAACATACTGTTAACATACAAAAAAAAAGCCACTAGCATACATTAATGTTAAGCCACTAGCATGCTCATCCATCCTAGTGGCTTAATGCTAAGCCACTAGTATCCAGACTAAGCCTAATGCTTAGTCTAGGCATTTGCAGCTGTGTTTCCAAACATCATGTAGCTGGCTCTCAAGTGTCCAAAATTTGGTTTGTTTTCTGAAAATATAATTTTTTTTTGAAGGTAATGATGCTAAAAATACAAAATTTGATGGGAAAACTTACAGAATTATGCTGGTACAAACTTAGTGGTCTTGGCACAATTTATGCCCCAGCGATTTAGTCCACTTCGAGTCCTATTATAAGCCATTGTTCCGGTTGACCAAATTCTTAGATATTTCACTAGTATAACCGTCCATTCTACCACACGAGCACAAGAAACTGCCCATTCAACTACCCTGTAAAGTGATCGGAACTCAGTAAAGTGGACAATTTCAAACAAAATTAAAAAAATACCAATTTAAAAATAGTCTATACTCAATAATGTAGAGATTGACTTATAGCTCCAACCTTCTCCTAAAATTAAACTTTCCATTTTGAATTCTTATTCATACAAAAATAGAAGATTTACTCTGTTTTTTGAATAATAAAAATATAACCAGGGAAGATTGGTCATGGTTTACAGCATCCCAATAATTGATGTACGTCTATGTAACACAGCAAAAGTTATGAATGACTGAGAGTAGTCGGATTTGAGTAGGTGATGACCTAAGTCATGTCATCTGAGAATATGAACAGGTTTAAGGAGATGAGACGGTTGGGAAGATCACTGAATGTAAACGAGGAGGAGGAAAGGGCCAAGGACACTGCCATGAGGCACTCCTACACTGACAGAGTGAGAGGATCAGGCTAAAAAATTTTGTTCAGGTTTTTAACCTGGAGGGTTAGTCACCCAGGATGACCCAAGAAAGTCGGTGCATCATCGAGGACTGTCTGTCTTATTTCCATTGTGGTCCTTCAGTCTTGTACCCAGGATGACACCACACCAGTCACCTATTACCCAGGTATGGAGCATAAAACATCCAATGTAACTCAAGAAAAACCAGGACAAACTCAAACTAAACCATAAAACACCAATAAGTGCCATATTTTCTGGCATATAAGACGCAAGAGCATATAAGACGATGTTTGCGAGCCTCTGAGCTTGTACAGTCGCCCGAGGGCAGAACTGGCAATAGCTCTTTTGGCATTTATGTGGGTGTGTAGTCTGAGTCTGGAGTCTAGGTTTACACCTAGGACTGCTTACCCTTATATAACCCCAGCTACCCTTATATGCCATTAACTATTCTTATATACCCTCAGTTACCCTTAATACCATCAACTATCCTTATATACCCTCAGCTACCCTTATATACCATCAACTATCCTTATATACCCTCAACTACCATTATATACCATTAACTACCCTTATAACAATAATAATAATATCCTTATTTCTACAACACGTCCAATGTTTCCACCCTTGCCAGGGATCGAACATGGACCCACAGCATGTGAAGCCAGAGCTTTGCCTACCAGGCAAATATAATCAACTACCCTTATATACCCTTATGCTGGCCAAGGCTGGGCCATGAGAGAAAATTATTATAATTATAATCATGGGGAGCGCTAAACCTGTGGGATTATACAGCGCAATGGGAGGGGATGGTGGGTATTCAGACTCGATTCAGGGAACTGGAGCACAGATCCAATTCCATGGATCAAGAGCCCCTCACCAGCATCAAGGAACCTCCCTTGAGGGGCCATGAGAGAAAAGGAACAAAAGTTTCTTTTGTAAAGAGAGATAGAAACTTGAAGTTCAGTACGCGGCAGTCAAAATACATGAGGACAAGCATCCCAGAGAGAACAGGGGAAATTTATCACTGATACTCAGGCAAGAAGAGAGACGTCTACACCAGACGAAGACTGATGCAGCCCTACAAGGGCTAGACATAGGGTCCTGCAAACAGTGTCTACCTACTGAGGCTCACAGGACCCTATGTCTAGCCCTTATACAATGTTATAAGGACTATGTTTGTTCTTCATGGTACTCTGCATTGACAAAAAAACTGAATGATAAACTGCAAATGGTAAGATTTATCCTGGACCTTGGACCAAGAGAACATGTAGGCCAGGATGAATTACAACAACTGGATATGCTGAATGTTGAAGACAGAGTAAAACAACGGAAGTTAAATCAATTTTATAAATTTGGTCACAAACAATGTCCACAATATCTTGCTGCCAAGTGTGTCAAGGTTGGGAACCAAAGCAATCACAGTACTAGGGGAAGAGAGCACAACTTTGTAGTACCCACAGTCAGTGGCCAGGCTTCAAACACCTTTTATTATACAACAATAAAGGAATGGAACAGACTGCCTGCACATGTCAAAGCCAGTCATAGCATGAACCAGTTCAAGAAGAGTGCCATAAGGTGTCTGATGGATGTAGCTACACAGAAGAGAAAGATTTTTTATTTTTTTAGCTAACACTCGTGTAATTTAACCTTATTCCTAATAGCGTATATCTCCTTTATAGTATAATAATAAGATATTATCTCCTTCATTGTATAATAATAAGTTATAACAAGGACCCCAATGGAATTATGTCACTTTGTCTGACTTAGTTGGGTTACCTTAGGTTCTCTACACATATGTTGCTATATATGATAATTTACACATATGTTGCTATATATGATAATCTACACATATGTTGCTATGTATGATAATCTACACATATGTTGCTATGTATGATAATCTACACATATGTTGCTATGTATGATAATCTACACATATTTGCTATATATGATAATCTACACATATGTTCCTTTTATAATTAAAATATACTGCTATTTTAATAATCTACACATGCACTGTAAAACATGAATAACCTTAGTGTTAAGTAACTGAAGGAAATAATTTTTAATTGGCCCAAAAAGCCTAGGCATAATAGAGGCTCCCCTTTACATTGAACCCACAGTTAAATACAAAATCTAAATGTGCTGTTTGCAAAGACTAAAAAAATGAATAAATAAATAATCTACCATATTTTGCGTTTTTAAAATAATCTCACAGACCGGGCCGGGGAGGGTTGCCCCCAACTCTCTCCAGGTAAACTCCGGGAAAAAAACTACAATAAGCACTTTATGAAACAACTATCGGCAAAGTATTGGCCTTATATCCAGAGTCATTATTTGCACAGAACGTTTAAAACCCTTTGACTTTTTTCAGGCCCCTCTCTGAAACTGTCATTCTATGTCGCCAATTTCAAAAAAAAAAAAAAAATATTTTTTCTTAAAAAAATGTTGGGAAATTTTTACTAGTTTTTAAGCCTAAAAAAATTTTTGCCATCAGACTTCCCGGGATAAGACCCGCAAAAGTTTCAGAAATTGACGTGCGTAGGGCCAGGGGCGACTCCGCCCATTTATTCTTTTTTTTACCTAATTCAAAGTTTTCTTGCTTTTTCAATTTTTTTTCTTTTCCAGGAAAACTTTTTTGGGCCCTGGGAGACCAGTAAGGTGCATTGTTAAAATAACACTCATTGTTTAAACACAAAAACAAAACAAATTTTATCACTTTAGTTTTTGATAACTTTGTTTACAAAAACAAACAATACAAAACAATTTTTATTCATTGTTCCATAATATTATACAATGTACATCCTAAACACTTTCCCAAAAAACTGCTGCGTTGTGGACCCCTTTGAAACAGGGGATATGCAGAGGGGCACTTCACACTCCTCACATAAAAAACAGTGTCTTCGTGTTTGGGGGTTTTTTGTGGTATGCATACATACATAACACCTCTTCTGAGCATTTTTTTTGGGCGTGTAGGAGGCAGTTGTAGGGGGTAGTGATCACCGGCCCAAAACGAGATGACGTCTGTGGGCGCGGCCCATTGCGGGATTTGTCCTTTGTACTTTGAAATTATTTGTCGATTACTGAAGGCAAAATTCACCATATTTTGGTGTTTTGTTGGTCTTCACTTGTAATTTTAAATAAGCATTTAGCATAGAGATATCAAAAAGGGGAAAAAAAAAGTTTATATCCCCTTTAACTCTTGCGTACACAGTCGGGCAAACCCAATCTCATGTCACATTTGTCCACTAAGCGCTATTGGGGTTGTACCATAAAGCGCAGGTTTAGAAGGGGTTTCTTTGGGGCCTCTTTTTGTCCCTGCCACTGGGGTACCATTTCGTTTGTGTAAACTAGTAAAATGTGACATCCTTTTTGTCAAGCCCCGAAAGCCAGATGTCTTTGGGCAGCAAAGGTTTGCACCTCACCTCTGCGAGTGCCACGTCAAACCCTTTGGGCATATTTTTGCGATTACCACGCACTGTGCCACACACGTCTGTCAATTTCCTCGCAAGAAATACTGGTGGGGGCTTGTGTACCAGTTATCATAAAAACATATCCCCTTACCAAGAAAGGGTTCCATCATTGTTCGAACCACATCCCCAAGATCCCCAATAATTCATGTATCTCTCAAAGTATTAGCCAGTGAACACAAAAATATCAAAACAAGCCCACTTCTGCAACACACAGTACAAATAGCTTTTACCAAAGCTTTCCTTTGTTTGGGTATAAAATGCTTGAATGAGAGTCTTCCTTTGAAAAAAAACAAGGACTCATCAATAACAAGCTTCCTGAAGGGATAAAAATACATGCAGCACTTTTGTTTCAGGTACAAAACACTTTTTTTTTATCTTATATAACCTTCGCTTCTGCAGCCTGGTTTTGTCTGAAAAGTGTAACAAAACGCAACGTATAGGAAACGATTGACCCTATAATGTCACAAAACCTGGAGTTGAAATCGGGCATCTTTTGTCCAGTAGTGGTGACAGTGTGCTTATACACTGTGGCATAAGCATTATTGGGCAAAAAAAGGGTACATCTTCCACAGTTGTCCCCTTTCCCATTTGTGTGGGGCCGTTTTTTTGGTGAGAGAATTGTATTTGCCAGGTGTATCACTATTGTTGGTTTCCCTGACATGAGTCCATCAGGGGTTCATAAAAATAACTCAAAGCATCCAGTTCACGGGCTTTTTCCCCAGGGAAAAAGATGGTTTTATTCCATTTTTGGTTTCATCAAAGCATGGGGGACTGGAACAAACTCGTCCCCGCCTCCCAAACCCGATGCGGTGCTGGTGGGGTCTGGATATTGTCGGGTTTGGGGCTGTGGTTGTGGCTGTGCAGGTTGTGGTGGTGCAGGTTGTGCAGTGGGGGGTGGGGTGGGGGGGTTGTTCGCTGATCCCCGCGGCTAGTAGCTGGCCCGGTGATGGTGCCACGGGCCTGCCACCCTCACTATCACCACCATGCCTCCTCCCTCACTGTCCATTCATACCCCTCGTTACAATATCGCCCTCTTCACTAT